TAAATTTGATTACTTAAAAACACTAGAATAGCCAAAATAATCTTGCAAAAGAAGAATAAAGTTGAAGAAGTAGCATTTCCCAATTGTAAAGCTTACTATAAAGCTGTACTGTTAAAGTGCTGTGCTCAATATGCCAGCAAATTTGGAAAACTCAGCAGTGGCCACAGGACTGAAAAAGGTCAGTTTTCATTCCAATCCCAAAGAAAGGCAATGCCAGAAAATGTTCAAACCACTGAACAATTACACTCATCTCACATGCTATCAAAGTAATGCTCCTAATTCTCCAAGCTAGGCTTCAGCGGTATGTGACCTGAAAACTTCCAGATGTTCAATCTGGATTAAAGGCAGAGGAACCAGAGATCAAATTGCCAACAGCCATTGGATCATAGAAAAAGCAAAAGAACTCTGGAAAAAAAACATCTACTGGGCTGGATGAAGCACAAGCTGGAGTCAAGATTGCCAGGAAAAATATCAATAACCTCAGATATGCAGACACCACCACCCTATGGCAGAAAGCAAAGAAGAATTAAAGAGCCTCTTGATGAAAATGAAAGAGGGGAGTGAAAAAGTTGGCTTAAAACTCAACATTCAGAAAACTAAGATCATTGGCATCTGGTCCCATCACTTCATGGCAAATAGATGGGGAACAGTGGAAACAGCGAAAGAATTTATTTTCTTGGGCTCCAGAATCACTGCAGCCACGAAATTAAAAGATGCTCCTTGGAAGAAAAGCTATGACCAACCTAGATAGCATATTAAAATTCAGAGACGTTATTTTGCTGACAAAGGTCCATCTTGTCAAAGCTATGGTTTTTCTGTTAGTCATGTATGGATGTGAGAGTTGGACTATAAAGAAAGCTGAGCACCAAAGAATTGATGCTTTTGAATTGTGGTGTTGGAGAAGACTGTTGAGAGTCCCTTGAACTGAAAGGAGATGAAACCAATTAATCCTAAAGGAAATCTATCCTGAATATTCATTGGAAGGACTGATGCTGAAGCTGAAGCTCCAATACTCTGGCCACCTGATGCAAAGAGCTGACTCATTAGAAAAGACCCTGATGCTCAGAAAGCTTAAAGGCAGGCAGAGAAGGGGATGACAGAGGATGAGATGATTGGATGGCATTACTTACTCAATGGACATGAGTTTGAGCAAGCTCCAGGAGTTGGTGATGGATAGGGAAGCCTCTGGTGCTGCAGTCCATGGGGTCACAAAGAGTTGAACATGACTGAGTGACCGAACTGAAGAAAGCTATAATCATCAAGACAGTGTGGTATTGGCATAGTGTAGACATGTATATCAATGGGAAAGAATTGAGAATCCAGAAATAAACTCCTATAATTATGTTTAATTGCTTTTGAAAAGGGTGCCAAGTTAATTCAGTGGGAGAAAGAATAGCATTTTTCAACAAATTGTGGTGAAAGAACTGGGTATCCACAAGCCAAAGAGTGAATTTGGACCCCTGCACAAAAGTTAAATGGTTCATAGACCCAAATAGAATAGCTAAAACTACAAAAATCTTAGGCAATGCTTTCTTAGGAGCCACAGCAAAAACTGAAGTGATAAAAAATAGATGCATTGTACTTCACCAAAATTAAATACTTTTTTGCTTCATAAGATAGAAGGTAAAAATACAATCACAAAGTGCTAGAAAATTTTTGCAAATCAAGTGACTGATAAAGAACTTGTATTCAGAATAATAGAGAAATAACAATGAAAACTATGCTAAAGGTTTAAATAGACATTTCTTCAAAGAAGATGTACAAATGGTCAGTAAGCATGTAAAAAAGTTCAAAAATCATTAGTCGGGGATATGCAAATCAAAACTACAATGAGATGACTCTTCACTCTCATTCACATAACTACAATTTAAAAACTGGACAGTAACAAGTTTTAGAGAACACGTGGAGAAGTTGGAACATTTTGTTTCTATGAATATAGTCAAAAGGCCAATGACAAATTGGCAATAATGATTTGCAATGTGTGTGACAAAGCGATCATTTTCACAGTTTACAAAGGACTGTAATAAATCACTAAGGAAAATGTATACAGAGTAATATAGAAATGGACACATGAAAAAGCAGTTCACAGAAAAAGAAGTACAAGTTACTGATAAAGATATGAAGAGATGGTTAATCTTATTTAAAATTAAAGAAATGGATAGTAAAGAAGTTAATGATGCTTACCTTGTAGAGGTATGGGGAAATAAACACTTACGCTTTTCATGGTAATGTATACCAGTAGGACTTTAGAAAGCAATTGGGTAACAATTATCTGAAAATAAATTGTACTTATGCTTTTCATGGTCATTTATACCAGTAGGACTTTAGAAAGCAATTTGGTAACAATTACCTGAAAATAGTTGTACATAACAATTATCTGAAAATAGAAAGCAATTTGGTAACAATTATCTGAAAATAGTTTAATGTTTACTCATCAAATCTATTTCTAGGAATTTACTGAGTAGATATACTTGATTGCATCCTAAGATGTACAAGTATACATGTAAGGATTTATATTATAGTATTGTCATTAATAGGAAAAATGCAAATAACCTATAAATCTTAGCAGTAGTGGACTGGTTAAATTCATTAATGATAACAATGGATAAGTTAATTCATCTAAACAATGGAATGCTATGCAACTGTAGAAATGTGATGTGGAAAGGATGTTAGAAATATACTGTGAATGGAAAAATAAGTTGTATAATAGTATGTATACTATAATCCTATTTGAATTTAGAATTGAATATATTTAACATAAATTGAACACAAATCATTTTTATTATACAAAATATAATTTATCATATATAAAATTATATATTAAGATTTCTATAATATGACAACATTAAAAAGCATGTTACTAATTGTATGCTAATGGAGAAAACTTGAAGTCTGGGTTTGTTTTGTTTTTTTGGTTTGGTTTTACATCCCAGCTCAGAGGGCTTTCAGTCAGACATTGAATCAAGTATTTTATTGTAGAACATACCTTTCCCACCTCCTCTTTCGTTTTTAACTCAACAGTATTGCTTAGAGATCTTTCCATATTAGTATATTAGTGTAATAGAACTTCGTTTTTCTATTTGAAGTCTTTGTTGATGAACTCTAATTGATTTAACGATCTTCTGTTGTTAGCATGTTTTAGCATGTTAAATATGATATTTAACTCTTATTGTATAATCAGTATTGTCTGGGTCTGCGGGATACATTGATAAAGACAAAAAATAAAAGACCATATTTCCTCCTTTCACGGAGCTTGTTTTCAATGAGATAGACATTAACAAAAGACCTCTCAAATAAATGTGGAATCATAACTCTGATAAGTGCTGAGAAGAATCTAGTAGGGTTAATTGACATAGTCAAGGAGTAAAAGATAGATTTTCCAAAAAAGTGATAATTGAACTGATGTCCAAAGAAAGGATTATTAGTTTTGTGTATTTTAACGATGAATTTTGTCCTATAATATATATTCTCCCATTTCTTCTATTACTGTAAACACGCCTCACTGGTGCCTCTGTCTCATCAGATTTTAAATATGCTTTTTCTCACTTATTAAAAAAATCCAAACTCTTCTCCAATCCCACTCTTGTTTCCAACTACTTTCCCTTTTTCTTTATCTCCCCTTCTCTTGTTACCAAAAGTGTTTTGTCTAAACTTCCTTTTCTATTTCTTATATGTCACTAAGACAAAAAAAATTGCAGGTTTATTCCTCTTTTGACCTGTTCTAATACGAGTTACAGCAGACTTCATCACGGTCACCAATGACTTCCACGTCCAGTGAACATGGAACATGTTAGTCTCTGTTTTTCTTGAATATTCTGTGACACTGGACATAACTCTGTCCTTGAGATGTTCTTTTATTTTGGTTTTCATGACTTTATCTTCTTCTGTTTTTCTTCCTCCTTTTCCAGTCTTTTTTGCTGCCTTTTCCTTTTCTAAGTATTTAATTCCTGAGTTGCTTATGCTTTATCCTAGACTCTTTTCGCTTCCTGTCAGACACTCTCAAGGCAAGCTTCACATCCCTAGATGACTCTCAAGCCTGTGTTTGACCTCTCTTCTGAGCTTTACACCACTGCGTCCAGCTGCCTCTCATAGTTTTTACTTTATTTATTATTTTTCAATTCAAATATATTTAGGGTCAGTTATTTGCCAGGTAGTCTACTGGTGCTGGGAGTCTTTTAAAAGTGCTTTACTGGAATATGGTCTAAACAGAATTTATGATTAACATTACCCACCAGAAACAAACAAGTAAATAAACAGAAACAGCCAAAATAAGGCCTTCTCTACTTCCATGGTTCTTACTCGGCTGCTGAAGTCCACCCAGTTCTTCTAGTCTGAAACTTTGGGATCAGTCCTGACTACTCATTTTATCTGAGCATTTCCTCATCCAGTCCAATCGAATCCAACCCAATCCAGTCAATATAATCTAACCCAACGCAGTGTTATCAAGGTTGGCCATTCTATCTTCTGAGTATGCACCCCTCCAACATCCTTCAGTGCATATACTCCCACACTGCATTTTCTCTGCTAAGACCCTAATCTAAGCTGCCATCACCTCTTGGTAGTCTGCTACTGTTTCCTTCTAATTTGTCATACTACATTCACTTTTGACCACCATCTGGCAATTTGCTACATGACTGCAAGCATAATCTTTTAAAATTTTCCTCAATTTCTCTGTGTCTCTATTTCCTTATCTGTAAAATGAGATAACGACGGCCCTTCCCTCATAGATTTGTTGTGATGATAGAAAGAATTGCTATGTTAGAGTATAGGGAATACTGCCAGGCACTGAGGCCTCAGTCAATTGTTATTGAGACCCTACACATTGTTGCATTAAGCCAGGTGAAAGGTATGGTTAAGACAGAAAGAAGTTTATTAATAGATTTGAATGGAGTAATTATTAGCTCATTTATACTTAATTGTGCTATATGTATTCACACAAAAAGTCTGCAACTCTTATGATGCATGACCTTATTATGTGTAATTTTTTTCTTAATTAAAAGGCTAAGAAGCACCAGGCTTTTCTAGTGGAGACATGTGAAAATAACGTGAAAGAATTGGAATCGATCTTGGACAGCTTTTCTGTGTCAGGCCAATGGACATCAGGTTAGTTGAAGGTATAAAATGACAGATGCATCTGTCAATGTTCCAAAGTCACTACATTTTGGGAATTCTGCAGATGCCTCTTATAGTCCCTCATCTCAACATGTTTTGATTTGATGACATGATAGGAGCAGTTCTCACAGCAGTCAGTTGGCCTAGCTGGCTGCGAAAGGGTGACGGACTGTGGACCTGCTGTTGTCCTCCCGAACTTGATTTACAAGTGTTGGTGTCTGTGTGATTGGACAGACAAGGGCTCACTTGCTGTGTCTGAATCCAACTGAGAAGAAAGTCCATGCAGCATACCTGCAAGGGGAACAGATGTTTCCATCAAACAGAGCCAAATTCTGAGGCAACCTTCAGCAACTTAAAGGTCATGTATTCAAAAGGTTATGTAGGACGCAGGCTGTAACAGTGCGTATTCTTCACTGCTGCTTTCCAGTCTGGTTTTCTCCTTCATTTCCTACTACAGTGTATGTACTCTCCAGATGAGTGTTTAGGTAAAATGCTTTGGTTTTAGTGTTAGCCCACTTAATATGATAGAGAACTATAAAGATTGTATATCGGGTAGGCATATTTTGGTATCTAGCAAAAAGCATTAGTTACTAATGAATGTTGTCCATTCCATGATTTCTACTTCCTTAATTTTTGTGTGTCTGCCATTATGTGTGCTATAGTAGCTTTGACTTACCTACTTTCACTTTTCTACCTCAGTTTTCTTTTGGCATACTGTCAGCCTCAAATTATTTAGTTGCTTTCTGACTCAATTATATTTTTCAAAAAAGCATGTAAAATTCAATTCCTTACACCTTAAAATAGCTTCAAGACTTTTTTTTTTTTAAAGGAATCAAGCATATTTGACAAATGAGTTCTTTAGGAAACACTTAAGTTCAGAAAAGTTTGTTGTCCTTATAAAAGCAGAAAGATATGATCAAGGCCCATTTCACATTATGAATCTGCAGATTTCTGTTGGTGAACCATTAGAAATTGAATAAGATTTGCTGTTATCTATTTTTAACTTTCTTTGTTTTTATTTAAACTTTCTCCAAAAGCATTAGTATTTCATTGTTTGTCACTGTAAAATCAAGGTGTATAAAAGTGACATAAAAATATAGTTATCCACTTTTCAATTGTATTTGCTAAAGCTTTGAGGAATAAAGTTTTCTTTTTCAGTGATAGTATTTTATTATTCAGATGTGTCATTGCTTAATGGTTTTAAGAATCTTTAAAATTGTTAAATTATTATCATAGCATATCTTAATACTTCAACGTGCAGAGTTGAATTAGAAAACCTAAGAATAATGAGGTCATGTCTCCTTTGAGGTTTAAATAGTTGATAACAAAGAAACTCATAAGTTATTACTAAACCTATAGAAAAAAATTGTCTTCTAATGAAGTTTTTCTTTTTATTCTCATCTTTCAGTGACCATCCTTTTTGAACTTCCTGTTCCCGGGAAAGGGATTGTGTGCTGAATTAGGGATTTCTGTTCTGTCATAGTGGTCTTTGTTTCCATGTTGTGCTGGTTATTCACTCTTTCACCCACCCTAGAGTCATTCTCCTCTGGTCTCTGTTTTGCCGTGTGGAGGCTGACCTCTGTGGACTGCCTGATCTGGGCTCCTTTGCCCTCTGGCTTGGGGGGTTGGATTTGGATTGTGGGTGCCCCAGCAGGAGATTAAGAGGGTGGAAGAAGAAAGGAAAGCAGAGAATGTCACGGTGTTTATTTCCCCCGCTCCCTCCAGTGTGTTACTGGCAGTGGTTTCATTTTTGGTGGCTACAGCTCCTGTCAAGCGGATTCTCTTCCACAGCTGTGGCTTGTGTTGGTCTGTGATGATAGCGTTACCTCCACTTGACCCTGTTGGCCTCTCCCTGTTATTGGTATTGGTTTTCCAGTCTTGCTGGTTTGTGATGTCTCATCATATCTTTTTTGTTCTCTTAACCTGCTTACATTTCTGTAAAATCTTCATTAAATTTTTTTCCCAGTGAACTCTTCTGACTATGCCAGTTCTTCTCTTTGATACCTGACTCATTCACATACCTGCTTTGGACTTGATTTTATTCTTGCTCTTGGCTTCCATCAAATAGCCCTATATAGCCATAACAGACTCCCTTTCTGCTCATACCAGCTCAAGTTGGATTTTTGTCACTTAACCAAGAGGGATGTAATTAATAAACCTTATTGCTCAACATTTTTTGGAAGAGCCTGAACAATTATGATTGCCTACTGTGTCAACCCTGGCTTCAGCTACACAAAGATGACCAAATAATTTGTTCCTCCCTACCTCTCTCCCTTTTTTCCCCATGGTACTTGTTGCTGTTAAGCATTTCTGACAGACTGTGTGGTGCTTTTTTTAATTATATCTGTATTGTCAAGATTCTCTGGAGAAATAGAACCAATAAGATATACATATGTATATATAGATACACACAAGAAGAGATATTGGAGTTTGCACACATAATTATAGAAGCTAGGAAATCTCATGATCTTTCCTCTGCAAGCTGAGGACCAGGAAAGGCAGTGATATAATTCAATATGAGTCCAAAGGCCTGAGAAACTTGGGGCACCTGGGGCCCAGGAAAAGGAGTAGGATGTCTGAGGGCAGGAAAAGATGGAAGTCTCAGGTTAGGCAAAAAGAGAATCTTCCTTTCTGTCTTTTTGTTCTTTGGGGTTGGAGGAAGAGAGGGCTAAGAGTGGGGGGCAGGTAAGGAAAGTCAGCAGATTGGATATTGTCTCCCCTACCCACGTTGGTGAGGGCACATCTTCTTTACTTAGTCTGCTGATTCAAATGCTAATCTGCCCCCAGAAACACTCTCATGGACGGATCCAAAAGTGATTTACTGGTTTTCTGGGTATCCTTTAGCCTGGTCAAATTGGCAGTAAAAGCTCCATGAGGGCAAGGATCTTTGTCTCTTTCATTTACTAAAGGGTTTTAAGCAGGTAGACAATACTTGGCACAGAGGAAGCACTCAAATCTTTATTCAATGAATAAAAGCATGAATGAATTAACAGTAGGTCAATATTCTATTTTAAATGATAATTTTTGAGGTTATAAAGGTAGTCAAGGAATCTCTTTCAGGATCTTAGCTGCCTTTTGGGTAGCAGTCCATAAAGAGTCACCAAGAAGACTGACTTTCTGTGTTCAGTGGAAATGATGTCACCGTCTTTCATGCCTTATGGAAATGCCACCTTCATTGCCTACTATTCTTGGATAAGATGACCTCAATTTAATCAATCATGGACATTTATTTCCTATTTCTGCCTTCTACTTTCTGCTGAAATTGCTGCACGACGGCTGCTCATAACTCATTTTTTTTCTGATAGAAATGCTTAGAGTGTGTATAAGGGAGAAGTCCTTTCCCACTTTGAACCCATGTAGTCTTTCTGCCTCAAGTGTTTCTTCCTACTATGGTTTTACGGTTTCACCTCTAGAATGTGACTTTTCCTTCATTAGGTTCATGAAAGAAAGTTTTTCTTCTAACTCATTCTTGGATCCTCCACAGGCGGCTTGACTTTTGTGTTGACTGAGACAGAGCCCCTCCAACCTTCTTCAACCTTTCCTTCCTTGAGGAAATCATTTGTAATACTCCAGAAGTATCCTTTTGCTTTCTACTAGGAGAGACTGAAGGACCCTAGGAAATAATAGCAAGAACATTTGGTGCCTTTAGGTATGTACATATCACCCAGGAGTCGGGCAGCTTCAGGGACTGTTCTTAAGAAAATCAGGACAACAGGTGGTACTTTTCCTCTCATCTCTCCTCCTTTCCATCCTTCGTAAAGGATTATTGCCTAGATCTAGTATCTTCTTGAGACTTTGAATTGTCCTCAGGAACCTTGGGGCTCATGGGTTACTGAGAGACTGAGGCTGTCTGTAAGAGCAGCACACAGGTCTCCTTTGGTGTCATTGGCCAGTTTCTTCTTGCTTGCTTCCCTTACCTCCCAGTTCACTGAGGGTTACAAACCAAGCTTGCCCTACTTTATCATGCTCGTAGCTGGGGTTTGTGAAATCCAGGCAGCGACCACAGTAAGAGGGCTCACTAACTGATCACACTGCCAAGGGGACTGAGACGCAGGGGGCTCAGGAGAGCCAGTCTGACTCCAAAGGCCTGAGAAGCAGGAGACCTGGTGGTATGAGTTCCAGCCTGAGTCTGAGTCCAAAGGCAGGAGAAGACTGGTTTCCAGCTTGAAGATAGTCAGGTGGACAGAGAGCATCCCTTCTTACTTAGCCTTGTGTTCCATCTGGGCCTTCAGTGAGGTGGGTAAGGCCCGCCCACGGGAGGGCAGTCCACTTTACTCAGTCTGCTGATGCATTGTCAGTCTCATCCAGAAATAGCCCTGGAATAACACACCCAGAAATAAATTTTTAACTGAATCTGGACCTGTAGCCCAGTCAAGTTTGCACATAAAATTTTGCTGTGCTGTGTTTAGTTAGTTGCTCAGTCGTGTCTGACTCTTTGTGACCCCATGGACTGTAGCTGCTACACTCCTCTGTTCATGGGGATTCTCCAGGCGAGAATACTGGAGTGGGTTGCCATTTCCTCCTCCAGGGTATCTTACCAACCCAGGGATCAAACCCAGATTTTCTACTCCCACATTGCAGGAAGATTCTTTATAGACTGAGGCACCAGGAAAGCACATAAAATTAACTATCCCCTTTTCTCTGGCTAGCAAGCCGCTCATAACCACCATGCTACTTTCCGTTTCTGTGAATTTGACTACTTTAGATATCTCTTATATTGGAATCATGTATTATCTTTTCATGATAGACTTCTCTTAGCAAAATTGCCTCCAGTTTCATCCATATTATGGCATGTGACAGGAATTCTTTTTTAAGGCTGAATAATACTCCATTGTCCAACAGAAGCAGAAGAGATTAAGAAGAGGTGGCAAGAATACACAGAACTATACAAAGAAGGTCTTAATGACCTGGATAACCACGATGGTGTGGCCACTTACCTAGAGCCAGACATCCCAGTGTGGAGTCAAGGGGGCCTTAGAAAGCATTAGTAC